GAGATAATAAAAAGTCAAAACAAACACAAATTCACAACGTAATTTTTACACGTAATACAAATCATATAATCGAAAGAAATAAATTTAAGAATCAAAAAATCATTCTTAAATACACATTCTTCTTCGTTAACACTCGACCAACCTAGAAATCCCAATTCAAGATAAAAGATATTTACATACAATTTCCCTCGATTTTCTCTCTCTTCCTTTTACCAGAATAATGTCAAAAAAAGAAAATCCTGAAATACGATAAACAGCCAGCCGAGTTCTCAGTAACACGATTTCCCACGAATTACACTATATTCATATTCGAGGGAAATCTCACGCGGCAAAAAGTCACGCCATACCATAATGCAACCGCTTCTCTTGTTTCTTGTTGGCCTGTATCGCGGCGAGCCAGTCGTCGCGATGGTATAAATTCGAATTCCGCGGGTTTCGCGTTTTTCCTTCGGAAGATGTGGAAAAGGAATCAGTTTCTTCGCGAAGCGGCGTTTTATTGAGCGCGCCCTTTATTTCGCCCCGGCTCACCCCGGGTGATATATATTCGATTGCATAACTGTCGTTCCACCTGTGTTGGAGATACCATGAGGGGGAGGGGGGGGCTTACGTCTAATTTTTCATTGTAATACGATTTACGGAAACTTCTCAATGCGCCGCCCCACTACGCTCGGTCTACCGCGTAACTGGGACAAGCTGTATTTTTTAAAACGATGGGGAAGGCGTCGTGGGACAAGATGAAATTGCGTACCGTGATACATACGTTCCGGAATTAATTTTACACCTCTTTTCGTGGATCGGACAATTTAAAATGAAATTTTATTCTTTTCAAATGATAATAGAGACAAGCGTTTCCACTTTTTTTTTTTTATAATATGCGTGCAAGAAAGCAAAAGATTTGAAGGATTCATTTTCAGTCGATCGATGGTAAGAAAATTTGGAAATATTTCTGTTCTTTTTTTGTTTTCACGCTTGACTGGAAATTGAAATCGAATACAGTAGAAACGTACGAAAGGGAAATTGATACAAATTTTAATTAAAAAAAAAAAAAACTCGAAATGTAACGTTTTCATTTTACAATTTACTCGTCCATTTTCATATAAAATTCGTTTACACGAAATGTGTAGTTAATTCGATTCTGCATGAAATGTGCAATATCTTATCGCGCGCGGTAGAAAATAGTTAATTCCACGAAATTTCTGCATGAATATGCGCATATATTTATTTCATAATCGAAAGGAATACTCACTTTGTAACAACAAACCAAGAGTTTGAGGAAAAATATGATGAAACAATGGGAAGGATATGAATAAAATGGTTAATCAAAGGTTGGATATTTAAAGAAAAGTTTAGTTTCAAAATTAAAATTGATCGAAAATTTATTTTTCGTTTGTTTTTTAATAGTTTTAAATCTTAATAATTAACAAAAAAAATTTGTAGAGATTTTTTATTATACGGCAAATATCGTAATTAAAGTGTATAGGATTTAAAATATATCGTGAGAAGAAACGAAAAAAATCGTCACTTCAATAAAATAGATAGGAATAATTTCATAATTTGCAAAATCGTGGATTAATTCGATACTTTTATTAATTTTATCAATATAATAAGTATTCACCGGTTATTAAATTTATTTGAATTCCCATATTTTTCGATTATTTTACATTTAAAGTTTTATTTGACATATATTTATTTTAACGTTTATTTTAAAAATCCGCTATTTTCTTCCCACATTTTCACAACACCGCCATTTGGCAATAAAACGATAAGATAAAACAAACGAATTTTAACGAGAAGTTATTCCCAAAATAAATAAATAAATAAATAAATACGTAAAAATGAATATTGAATTAAAAGCCCGTGTAACTTTATCGGTACCCGATATTTTGTTTCTTGTTATCGAATATATGGCTCGCGAATACATTATTGAGAAAATATTGGTGGCGTGTTGTGTATCAGCCTGGTGGATTAACAATTACCGAATCCATAGGCATGTATATCGATTGGGAAGAACATTTTTCGTGTCAATAATTTTGAAAAGCAGTTGCTCGACGAACGAGTGAAAGGTAAATTATTCGTCGTACTTTCACCCCCTGAATTTTACATGTATTCACTGGAAAATGCGGTAATTTAATTCCATCATAAAATGTGCATTCATTTCAACTTTCATTACAATTTTCACTTATCGTCGACACTCACTTGTGTTTATTAACTTTTCGTGGAATTCAATATCGATATTAAATTAATAATATAGAAATACAAGGATCGAATGTTGCGATATCGATAAACATTTGTTCGAGAAAAAAAATTAATTAAAATTTTTCAACAATAGTTTTGTTTTCTTTCGTTTTTTAATAATTCAAAGTTTAGATATTTCGTATTTCTTTTTCTTTTCATTCTTCCTAAAAGAATTATTTATCTTAAAGATATATATTCGTTCCTTATTCTTTATCTTTTTTAAAAACAATTTTTAAATATGCTTTTAAAAACTTACGTGAAAATTCTCTATCTCTTCTCTTCATTTATTTACTACTACCATCATTTTAGATTTTGATACGATATAATGCTTCAACGATAGTAAGATTTTAATAAAGCATCGCTCATAATCCCATAATAGAAGAGAAAGAGAAAGAAAAAGCGAAAAGTAACGATTATCACAGCGAATGCTTTAATCCATAACCCTGAACATTAGTTATGCGAATACTTATCTCCACTACTTTTTTACAATGAACGTTTCCTCCTGTAAATTTAATCCATTCCATCCTTTAAAATTTTAAGGATGGATCTTTGGTTCTTTTAATTCCAAGTATACATTTCGTGAATTTCAATTATAAATGACACGTGAAACATTTCGACCACCAATATCCAAAAATCTAATCATATTATATTCGACTATTAGGACTTTGAATGATTTTGAAAACATTGCGAAAAATCGTGTTGAAATCATTACCAAATTGGAGCTATTTGCTTACAAAAAAAAAAAAAAAGGAAAAGGAAAAAAGAAAAGAAAGAAGCGTTTCCTTAGAGATAGTAGAATTCCCTTTAAGGTAGAAGATAAAATGAAAATCTCGAGGAACAGAATTTTCCTTGCTGCTCTGTACCAAGGAAGATAAAGCATCCGAAGTGTGCGCCAGTAAAACTTTTCGACGTTGCTTGCTTTGCAGATAACATTCTCTTAAGAAACCTGATGTCTCTGAAAATTAGACTCCTCTTCGTTTATGCTCGACGTCATTTTTCCTCGTGGTTAATTATTATTGAGTTCGTGAAAATATTCTATCGCTTCTTCTTTATTATGAAAAATTTTCTTATCTATTATAACGAAAAGATTCTGAAATGTATTGTACGAACGAAATTGAATGAATTATAAAATAATTTTAATAATCAATTTAGAAGTTAGAAAATTTTTTCTCGTGAAAATTTTAATTGAAACTTCTTATTTCAGTTGTTAATTAATATTTTCGTCAATTTTTTTTTATCTGTATTTTATTTCCGTAATAAAGTAGAAAATTTATCAGAGAATTTTAAATATTTTTTTTATTCCTTTTCTTTAATGGTATATTAATATTGCTAATAAAAGTAGAGAGCAAAACGTGGTCCGAGATTAATCTCTTGTTGAGATTTTAAAGTTACTCGAATATCCCTTTTAATTAAACGTTAACTTCTTTAAACTAGATTAAAAAGGCACTACCTTTTCGAATAAAGTAAATGCATACTTTGCTTTATGAAATTAAAATGTCTTCTTTTTCTACATTTAAAATAGAGGGATAAATGTCAAAACATAGAAAGGATTAAGCCACTCTCTATTTTATAGTTACTTTTGTACTTTTTACTATAGAAAATAAAATTTTTGAAGAGACACGCAAACGAATAAAAATGGGGAAAGCTATCTAAACGTGTGTGACACACGTGGTATATTGGAGGGAATCAAGTGCTGAAATCGACACGAAACCAATTTAAGACATTAATCTCCTGTATGGCTATATGCATCCTGACTTCAAAACAAGTTTTTCTTTTTTTTCTTTTTTTTTTTTTAGTCGATTCGAGCAAAAAGTCAATCCCTTTCACAATACGCGGTTTAGTCGTTTTATATAGGTATTGGCTTTTATTATATCCATTCATCCTATTTTTGAGACTTTCGAGCCAGTGTTGAACGCCACTGCCTCTTCGCTTTTCACTTTTTCTTCCATTTTATTTTTTTTATTTCAATAAATATATTTTACATTCAGTGCCAATTATTGAAATTAAACGTCAATGAATAAGAAAATAATCGTTATAAGCAATATTTCTCGAGAGAAAAACACACAAGTACTTGTCCGTCGTTTAACTTTACTTTAAAAACTCGATTGAATCGTATTAAAATTAGGAAAAATTTAAACCGCTATAACTCGGAAGATAATGACTTTTGATCAACGAATGAAAGATCGTTAGAAGCGCGGAACCTTCCCCTTTAAAACGCTTTTTCGTTCATCTCGATACGACTTCCGGTTCTCGAGATATCGTCGTGTAAAGGAACGGTAATTTTTAATCGTTTACTATCTGCCTCTTTGTCGCTTATTCGGATCTCTCGCTCGCACCTCGTCTCACTGACCCATCCCAAACTGCAGACGAGTGACAGACGCGATTCCTGGAAAAACGTAGTACGCAATTTCAGGGGAAAAAATATAGGTCAGTGGGTCGGAGATCCATTCATAATTTCTGCGCAACGTCAAGCGGCATGGAAACTTTGAATCCTCATATCTCGGCAACCAATTGAGATATCGAGATGAAACAAAAAGGGGCTTCAATTGCACGGTTTCCTCTATTTTCTAACTACGTTTCGATGATCAAATTTTTTAATTTTTTCTCACGAATTTTTTACACGAAAATTTTACAAATTTCCATTCAATGCAATATAATTTTTCACGACCATAAACGATTTACTTTGTATACAAAGTATACAAAGATACTTGTACAAAATTAAATGTTAATTTCACACTTTTATCGTGCACACAACGTTATAATGAATTCATCCTATCAATGAAACGCGAAAAGATTCAACAGTCTATCTAATAAAACAATCATCTGTTTTGAATGTTTCAGTGACGGGACTCGAGCCAGACTTCGTATACCCGTTGGAGAACTTAACGATCTCGCAGGGTCGAGACGCAACCTTCACCTGCGTGGTGAGCAACCTCGGTGGATACCGGGTGAGTCCTTCCTCCTCCGTGAGCGGAGATCACTCTGGCGGCGCCAAGGCCCGGGTAACTATTTTACCATTTACCTGTGTCCGCCTGTAATGGACTACCCTTATCTACTACTACTACCTACTACTACTACTACTACTACCATCACTACTACTATTACTACTACTGCACTACTTATATGCGCGTGTGCCTGCACCTCACAGCACTGCATTTAACTGCACCATTGCCAGCTATGAAAAAGAAAACTACCGCAGCAGCCGCCACCATCACCAAGCATCTCTCTCTCTCTCTGTACGATATCCATTTTCACCCATCAACCGATAGATATATATATATAACGTGATCAGCCCGCGTCACTTCAACTTTTCGACCGTAATTCTTTTAATTTTCGTTTCTTTCCTCGGGCGCGATTCCTTCCTCCTCTCTTCTTCGTTCATTTTCCCAAACCCTTTATATCTTTTCGAAAAATGATTCCTATTCGAGAAAAAGAAAAAAGAAATCGCAGATATACGTATTTACATACATACAGAACGAAAAGGAAAAAAAAACGAGAGAAAAAAAATAGCTTAGAGAATAGCTTGCGAGAAACTTGTGCATATTATTATAATCTACCATTGTGTGTATATATATATATATATAGGACGAAAACCGTAACACGAGACTAATCGTAGTTAAGCGTTCGGCTCGTTCGCTTCGAGGGGGACATTCCCAGTGCCAGTACATTTAGTAGCTATAAATGCAGATTTAATTTGTATTTAATATCTGTATTTAATTATTTTTATTAAAATTATTTATATATATTTCCATTAACTAATTAATATCAAAATGATTGTGGGTATAACGTTCTGACTAATAATACATAATTAAATTTTTTAATTTTAAGTCTTTAACATGATATAACCTTTTTCATAATCTTTCATATTTATAATTCTTATTTATTAATATAAATTAATAAAAGGAATTGGATTTCGATGATCGTGAAAAATCGATGCGAACTTGCCTTCAATCGCTACTACTAGGTATCGATATCAAGCATGTTACTTAGCTTATTAATGGATTGTTTCACAGTAAATCTATTTTTTTTTTTACAATAATATTAACTAGACAGTTAATACAAAATATAAAATTTAAAATCTGAAAAAAAAATAGCATTACCTTTGAAACAGTCTGACATATTAAAAAATAGCGGTAGCTTGGAAGTAGATTATGCAAAATTGAAAATTAGTAAAATCAAATGCTTCTCTCTACAAGTATCATTAGATAAAACAATAGTTGTTTTTTCTATATTTTAGCATTAATTGCAAACATATGATAAAAATATTTCGACAAGCTTGTATCGATGTCCGATTATTAAATTCAGAATTCCATATTAACATTCCATATTAACATTACTAACTAACATTTCTAACTAACATTTCTAACTAACATTGCTAACTAACATTGCTAACTAACATTGCTAACTAACATTGCTAACATTACTAACTAACGTTACTAACTAACATTACTAACTAACATTACTAACTTTTTCTTATAAATAGATAATAATTAAATATCTCAATTTTCCCGTGAGTACTTTCGTAAATATTTGGTTAATATTCGCTTAATTACATAATCGATTATAATCAAATATTAAATATTATATATAATAATGTATATTATTTAAATTAAATAATATAAAATTACATATATAAAATTACATAATATCCTAAGTATTTATTTATAATAAAATATTTCTAAAAAATTTTAAAAAAATAAATCTGTAAATACTAGATAATAGATTTGGGAATAGATATAAATTAGAAGATAAAAAAAAAAGAAAATATTGAAACGTGATAACGATTGGACAATAAATAACTATTTCTGAAGAATCATAACGATATTTAACAATACATTGAATACAATGAAATTTCTTCTTTTGCTTAATTTATAATATGAAATTTTAATTAAATTGATGCTGATCAAATTTTGTAAAATTTGTATTTTATCGGGTTGCTATATCATACGTGATATATTCCATATTTTATTTCTGTCGGAAAAAAACGTAATACTCTAGAGAAATCAGCACAATATATTTTTCACACGATATAGGTTTTTCACACATATACACACGCGTTGAAAGTCAAATTGTATTCATTCATTCATTTTTTTTTTCTATGCTTTCGATATCATTATTCGCATGACATATTTTATTACATTGTTTCTATAACTTAATATTTTACGGATATATTTTCAACAAATATTTAATGGACATAAATTATTATCAAATAAAATAATATCAAATTCAACAAGTTATGTTTATCGAAGAAATTTAAAACGTTATATACGTTTCAATATTTATTAATTATATTTTAAAATTTGTGTTAAAATATTATTAAATTTTAATTCATTTGGTAAATTATTAAATGATATCTAATAGATTAATATTTATATAAAATGTAAATATCAGATTTTTTATTAAAATTTTTTAAAAAATTTAAGGAAAATTACAGGGTCTTAATTATAAAAATAGCTTATTTTTTTTTTCTTGTTTTTATTACAAAATATAAATTTCTATACAAAAAAACTTTGCAATAAAAAATATTTTACAATAATATTCTATATTACAAAATACATAACAAATATACAATATTAATGAAAAAAAATTAAATACAATTGGAATTGTTATTAAGAGAATTATTTCGATATAATGTTTTGCTCGATTACCTCACACAAACAAAAGTGATAATAGTTTCATAAATGAAAACTCCAGAAAATATATTTGACACTTTTACGATCCCACTTGTTGAATTCTTACTACAGGCAAGAGAGAATATTTCTTTCTAAAAGATTTTCACCAAAAGTTAGCCTACAGACTTTAATTAAGCTTTAGAAACCTAAACTTTATAAATAAATTCTTTTTACCAATGGAGTTCACGATTCAGTTTCTATTTCATTTCATTTACAGCTCAAACAAACAAAATTCGAATAAATTTTCATTTATTTTGTTAATAGTTAACGTATTATTGATAATCAAGCAATTCATTATTCAAAGATTCGATTATTCAAAGAGCTATAAATATTTTATCAATTTCAGAATGGATTAGAATTATTAACCTTTATTGTGATTAATTATTGATAATAATTAATAAGATTCAAATTAAAAATAATATTTTCAATAACCATTACAAAAATTGATTTTCTTAATAACAACTCTTAATAATAGAATTTGAGACAATTCGCTTAAAATTACAATTTTTCCTTAATATTACAAATTATCACAGCAAAATTTATGCAGATTGACATCACAATAAAATTTTTTCTCTTAACAATCAAAATTTTTTTTAGGAAAACTAAAGCTTGAGAATTGTTTCATTGTTATGTATTAAAATTGGATATTTCAAAATTGCAATTCTACTAACCTAATACAACAAACTGATACAAGGAGAGAGGCGAGGAAAGCGCAATGACAAATGACAAATTTCCGGAAAAAAAACCGCATGCACAATTTTGGTTATTATCACTTGTTCCACCGACGAAAATCATCATTCTTTCTTGAACGTGACGCGGTTGAAGCGCGAGCCCACCACCTAACTCGGTTCTATTTGACTTGCTGATTCGTATACGACAAATTATCATTTTCATTTTCATCCTCATGATCAAGAGTCCCTCGGTTTAAAGTCTTGTGCCAAATGTATGCGCATATATACGGGCGTAAACACGGCCGAGTATCTTTGCCCCTTTGCGAATACGCTGAATGACAAATCACTCTGGCCTAACCGCCTGATATCTTGTGATTTACGTTGGAAAACGCGTTAAAACAAACAAGGGGAGGCCGAGAGATCTTTCGTGTTCTACATTTCCCGGCGAAGGCCATTAATATAAATTATATCGAAATTCGATCAAATTTGCGAACGCGTTAAATTTAGATTTTTTTTTCCCCCCCGCTTTCCTTGAGATTTTACTTAAAAAAGCAACAACAATCTTGCGATTTTTCCCTCGAGAATATGGTATGGTTGCAACATTGATATCAAAAACCGGTTGACAATTTTTAAATAACTCGTGGAATCAAATACAGATATTTTTCCAACTCGAATATTCCTTCACGCCAACCATCCAGCGAGAGCCTCCCTAAATATTCTTCCTATCGTGGTGGCGCGTGTATCCGGCAAGACGAGCAACTTAAACAAGCGTGCTCGAAAAGCTTAATCTTCCTATTCACGCGCCGATGAATAGCCCGGCAATAAATGCATTCTGTAGTGTGTGTGTGTGTGTGCGCGACATTCCGGTTAGAAATACAAGTTTCGAGGCGGTGGTTTCCCTTCCCCGCGCGGATTTGATATTGTCAGTTCTCGCCATATTTTCCACGCTGTAAATTTTAACAATTGGAAGAAGAAAAAAGAAAAGGATAGACGTTTTAACGTTCGAAAAAATGCGGAAAAAATTTTTCCGATTAGAGAAATCTGTTCGATCCACAGCGTGGAAAAAAATGCGTGTTTTCGTCGTTGTCGGTTGAATTATTATTGTTATCGGTTGCATACGTATTGATTAAAGAAGAGGAATTAACGAAGATGATGTAGAATCGTGAAAAATTGTTCTTCGGGATTATTATTTGAGAAAAAAAGAAAAGAATATCTTGATATTTCGTTGGATGAGATCGAGCCATTTTAAGGGATAATTTGGTACGAAAAATTTGTTAATATTAATAATTCTGCGTAAGAAGTTTTCGTTTCTCTTACTGATTATACATTAGAATACATCGAACACTGTTTGTTTCAGTTTTTATTGAAAGATCGTGTCGCAAATTCCCTCCTTTATTAATTTGGAATGGTCTCATCATAGCGGAATTTTCAATGAGCAATAAAAGGGGCGCGTTAAATGGCTTATTGGCTTTTTGGATTTAAGCTTCCGCGCTTAAACAATTCAAACCGGGCAAATTTCAATAAACAAGTACGAAACGATTTAAAAATTATTCCGCGGTAAATCGTTCCACGCCCGAGCGTATCATTTTTTCTTTTTTGAGAAGATATTCCAAAACCCTTTGTCCAAATAAGCTATTGCAATTGTAAATTTTATGGTCA